AAAAGCTGGTTAAGTAACAGCTACCACTACAGAAATTAAGCAAACTCCAGAGCACAATGGAAGACAGGAGGGCCTGGCGTGATGTGGTCCATGGAGTTGCAAAGAGTCAGACTCGACTGTGCGACTGAACAACAACTGTTACAGAAGCTGAACAGTTAACCCTAACCCTCTATGCACCTGAGGCAAATTAAGGCTGCACATGCTTGTAATTTGCATTTGATTGAAGGAACAGTAGTGGGTGAATAAACCCTTGTGGGGGCATGTTTACAAAATTATGCATGATTTGGATAGCACAGATTTCTTTTTCCCTAACCCTTAACATAATATACTAGGCTGTAACCTCAGAATACTCAAAAGAAAGTAGTTCTCACAGTACATAATTAATCCATGAAGTTTTATCAAAGAAAGTCCATAATAGCTAAATAGATGATGGACATGAAAAGGAATTAGACACATTATTGAAACCCTGATAACAGCTATAAACTGCTATAGTTGAATGGAACCTTCAGGTCAAGAGGCACTGTACTTGTAGCTACCGGTTACTAAGAGTCATATAATAGAGGAGGATTGTTGCCATTATGCCCTGCATATTGGCTTCCTGGAGGTATTTGGGTGGCCACTATTGGAAAAATATCCTGGGGGAAAAGGACCTTTGGCCTGGTCCAATGGAGCTGTACTAGTGAGCTCTACTTCACTCTCATCTAGAAGGTCTGCTGTAATGGGCCTGGGTTCAGTTGAACTGTTGAAATATTCTTCTTCTCTCCATTCTTTCCCTTACATAGTAAAAGTCACCCTTGATCCAGAAACGGCTCACTCCAATCTCAATGTATCTGCTGATCAGAAAATTCTGAGACAGGCACTTGGTGAATCAAAGTTGTATTATCCTCAGCGTTTTAAAGAAGCTTTATGTGTCCTGGGCTGTGAGCGATTTGCTTCAGGAAGACATTACTGGGAGGTGAAGGTAGGAGAGGAGGCATCTTGGGCTGTGGGGGTAGCTAGAGAATCTGTGGATAGGAAGGAAGAACTCAAGCTAAATTCAAAAGAGGGTATATGGGTTGTGAGAAAGGAACCGAAGTACTACCGGACAGAGCCTGCACGTTTAAGTGCAGGTGGCCTCACTTTAAACTCTGATACTCCTGAAACAGTTGGTGTTTTTCTGGACTACAGATTAAAGAGGGTGATGTTCTTTGATGCTATTCAAGGAATGGCTCTGTACACTTTCCATTCATGCTCTTTTACATATGAAAAAATCCGTCCTTTCTTCTGGTTGGGGAAGCCATCATCGAAATGTAAGGCTAAGGAGGAATGTTATATTCAGTTAAGTGCCTGAAATCACGATACCCAAATGTAATCCTGATGATTTCTTAAAAGAGACTTGAGGAGCTGTAATGTACTTCTGCTTTGAAACTAAGAGAACGATCACCTGAATGAGATATTTGGGGTAGGAGTGCATGTTCTCTCAGCAAACTTGTGTTCCTAAACTTGCATTTTGCAATGATGTGATACATAATCCCTTTGCCTTGGATTGTTCCTTGCAAATCCACCCCTTGATGGCCCTCCTTCTGAAGAAGTGAGCAGTGACTCACAAAAGCTCCTACCCTGCCACATATTTTGTTAGTCTTTAATGTGCTCCTGGACTCTTGCTCTTTTCTACTGCTACAGACAGACGAACATGGCTGCCCATCTTGATCTACCTCGCTCAAGACTTGATCTACCTCGCTCAAGACTTAATTTTGATGATCATCTGGGTGGAGGGGACAGGTTCTTTAAGGGGGGGGAGAAGGCAGGGGAGGAACAATGTGGGGAAGGAGAAAAGGGTTAAGAAGCCACTTGAACTGGCCAGTTCTGCTTTGAATATGCTAATCCTGAATTAGGAAACAGAAAAAGTATTGGGGACCAGCGTCTGCTGATGTAATGCCTTCTTGCCCCCTGAGTGGTTTCTCTAGTAAGGAATCTACAAGCAGTGAGACAGAACTGAGAGCCAGCATGTGCTAGGATTTCAGGAAGAAGAGAAGAGATTGGATTTATACCCCACCCCTCACTACCCAAAGGAGTCTCAGAGTGGTTTACAATCTTCTTTCCCTTCCCCTCCCCACAACAGACACCCTGTGAGGCAGGCGGGCCTGAGAGAGCTCTGACAGAAACTGCTCTTTTTCAAGAACAGCTGTGCCAGAACTACGGCTTGCTCAAGGTCATCCAGCCAGGTGCAAGTGGAGGAGTGGGGAAATCAAACCCAGTTCTCCCAGATTAGAGTCCGCGCACTTAACCACTACACCAAACTGGCTCAGGGAGACTGATGCTTAAATCCTCACTCTACCAGAAAGCTCACTGGGTGACCCTGGGCTTGTTATTTACTCTCTCTCTCAGCCAGACCTACCTCACAGGGTTGTTGTGAAGACAAAATGGGGAGGGTAGAGCATTATATGCCAACCTGAGCACCTTAGAGGGGTGGGATTAAAAAAAGTTAGATTTTGCACAGAATCCCAAATTCACTGTTCAAATCCCTGTGCTGGAACTGCTCTACATACATTTGTAAAACCTGACTTTTTTTCTTTTCTATGTACCAAATCTTCCATTTTAGAAATATACCTATTTCCAGTATTCATTCTGTCCTCTCCATACCTGTTGCTCAGACACTTGCACATTTTCTGGTAACTTCCTATCTGCTCTAATTCATTTTTATTGTTGGTCTCTTCTCCTGGACCTAGCATCTTTCTCCTTTTCCAGTTTAGAACATGTTTTGACTCCGCTTCTCATGCAGTTATCTTAACACTGTTCCCTTTATACTGGTTCCGTACCATGTCAGTGTCAACAACTTTCAGCCTCTCCAACTTGTCTTTCCTCCTCTCTACATTACACAGAAATAACTTTCTCTACTCCCATTTGTGCATGTCTACAAGATTTCTTTCTTCATTACTTGCAAAACAGAATTGGAGGGCAGAAACTATCGGAAGAAAGTAGAGTTGTGGCTGCTTGACTCACTTTTACAAATGTGCAGTGCAAGAAATTATAGGGCATGGTATTAACTTCCATCCTGGACTGTCCCCCCCTTGCCAGTCATCTCTGAATAAAGACTGCTTTTCTCCCTTTCAAATGCTACCTGGGTAGAGGTCTCCCATTTCCCCCACAGTCTTATTCTTGTGCCTTTACAATATGCAATGGAGAAATCAATGGTCCAGATACAACTTTCCAGAAGGCCGACATGTCTGAATAGCTTCCATTTTATTAATAAAGAATCTAGTGTTGTATAGCCAGAGGTAAAGCCTGCAGTCCTATGACATGGAAGTAAACCCTAGTGAATTCTTTGATTTAATCCAAATAAACATGTAGTATTGAGCTACTTGCAACGCTCTGTTGGAATGATTCAAATGTTCCTTATGCTAATTCTGTATTTCCAATTTTACTTACAGATAATATAGTGTACCTTGCTGGTTGGAATTAACTGATTTTAAATTTTGTCAACATATGTATTATCATTAAAATGGTATATGAAAACATTTTCAATAAAAAGCTAAAGATCTACCATTAAAATGGTATATGAAAACATTTTCAGTAAAAAGCTGCGTGTACTGTATATTAGCTAGCTGTGTTTAGTGGGGAGAAATGGCACACAGCCTTTAAAGAATCGCATTCAAAATAAAATTAAATGGAGCCACTTTTCTTTATCTGTATCTGAGCCCAAAGTTTTAACATCTGCATACATCAAAGTGTATAGCATTCAGATTTACAGTTCCTGCATGTATAAACACGAATGCTTCCTAGAACATTCCCTTTTATAATGGAAACAAGAAATATTTGCTTATGTTTAAATCTTTTCCCTTCATGGAATTCAATATGGTTTGCACTTCCCAATACTACCTCTCAGGCACCGGTTTGGAGTTTCTAGCCTCTCTGGGATCAGCCATAAGTGTGAAATAGAGGTGAGTGTCATCCGCATACTGGAGATCTTCATATAGATGTTAAACAGCATAGGGGACAAGATGGAACAAGGGACTGAGCAGAACTTTCATGGTACCACGACATGTAGAGTCCAAGTTGGAACAGAAACACAGATTTTTATCTGCAAAGTACTGAGTAAAACAGTGCCAACAGGCCACCAAGCAGCCCATCTCCTTCCCAAGGTCATGTAGCTGCTGCCTCTGAGTCAGAATCTAAGTTGTCACCTATTCTGGATGGGGTTGCACTTGCCTTAAAGGAACAGGTCCATGGTCTGGGGGGTGTTCTTGGACCCAGCCCTACTACTGAGTAAGCAGGTGGCCACTGTGACCAGGAGTGCCTTTTACCAGCTTTAACTGGTTAGCCAGCTTGAGGCCTTTCCTAGGCAAAAAAGATCTGGCCACTGTGGTGTGCATCCTGGCAACATCTAGATTAGGCTACTGTGGTGTGCTCTACAGGTGGCTGTCCTTGAAAGTGTCCCCAAAAGTCGAGTGGTGCAGAATGCTGTATCCAGTGTCTGGAGTGGATTGTAGGGACTGTATTATTCCAGTCTTGGCCCATCTGCAATGGCTTGTAGTATCTGTTCACAGTTCAAAATGCTGGTGTTGATTTGAGACCTATACCCTAAGGACCCCTACTCCCTTATTAACTTGCCTAACCACTACAGTTATCTTCTGAGGCCCTGTTTTGGGTGCCCCTGATTTCTGAGATTAGGTGGGTGGCCTCCTTGATCATGGCACCAAAGCTTGGGAACTCTTGCTCCGGAGACTAACGTGTCTGGCAGCAGTGGATGAAAATACTGGTTTTGTTTGGTGTTCCTTCAGTGAACCCTCCTTTTTGCTCAATGTTTTAATTTTTGTTTTTATATTTTTGTATGCCTGCATGCATGCTGCGGTGGCTCAAGTGGTTAAGATGCTGAACTGCAGGCTGTGGAAGGTCAGTAGTTCAGCGGTTCAAGACCCGGGTGCCGCAAGACAGGGTGAGCTCCTGTCTCTAGTTCCAGCTCCTGCCAACCTAGCAGTTCGAAAGCAAGAAATTGCAAGTAGATAAATAGGGACCACTTCGGTGGGAAGGTAACAGCATTCCGTGCGCCTTGGTGTTTAGTCATGCTGGCCACATGACCACGGAAACGTCTTCGGACAGCGCTGGCTCTTCGGCTTTGAAACGGAGATGAGCACCGCAACCCTAGAGTCGGATTCGACTGGCTTTCGAGCAAGGGAACCTTTACCTTTATGCATGCTCTGGTTTTAATAGCTTGTAAGATATGAATTTATTACACATTTTGAATTTGTCAGCCACCTTGGAAGCCCTCAAAAGGCAGAAAGGCAAGGGTATAAAATTTATAAAATAGATGAGCATTGTGTGGAAGAGGAGGAAGTGAGTCTTTACCTGCAGAGCCTCACTTCATATGGAAGCACAAACCAGTAGAAGCCAGTTTGCTTTTCTATAAACATTTATTTAAATTACAAAACAAGCTTGTCAGGAAGGGATCGGAGGCAGTGATGAAAGCCGAGGGATGCTATTCTGGTTCTTCCTCAGCCTCTCGGGCTCCCTCTTCAACCCTGTGCTTCTCCAGCTTTGCTATTAGCTCTAGAAAGCGAGAAGACAAAACAGAGGTGAAGCTGCGTGCTTCATAACATCAACATAACATCCACATACAAGAACTTCTCTCATTTGCAGACAGTCCTTATGGGCAGAGTTCCCTCTCAAGAGGATGAAACAAAATAATCAGAGATCCTACATGTCAGAGAACACAACTCTTAAGTATGCCTCTAATGTGACGGCAGGTTCTCTTGCAGCTCTGCAGGCCTTAATCGGGCTTCTCTTTATTCATAACAACACCTTTTCAGCTTGACGAGCAGAAACACATTTAAGGTGGTACAGGGGTGCAATTCACAGCAGGATTCTCCAGTTTCCCAACACACTTTCTTGAGGGAGAAACAGCCTACTCTGAAAAAATATAGGAGCTTGGGAACTTCTTTGGAGGTGGATCTTCCTGTTAAGAGGAACAGAGACCTGCAAAACCTTCTGAGGCACAAGGTGCTTTTAAGAGAAGGAAAAAAGAATTATGAAATCTGGTTTGAGGTGAAAAGTCCCTTCTGAAAGGACCAATAAGGATGGGGCAGCAGCATAGAAAAGGCCATTGCAGAATGTATACTGCTCCATCCTACCTAGGAGTTTCTGTCATCGCTTAGACTGGTTAATTTACAACACAGCAGACTGCATTCCAAGAGAGAATTTTCTCCTTTTAAAAAAACAGCAGTAGAAAAAGAAATCTGGCATCTGGTACCACCCAAAAGTAGTCCTACTAACCATCTGACCTTGCCACCCACTTTTCCATCGGGGACGGGGGGGGGGGGGTGTTTGCAGCTGTTCACCAAGAGTGATAATGTA